TGTAAGCAGCAACTGCCATCCAATTGCTTGAGCCACAAACTGTTAACTCACTGTCCCTTGCACCCCACATCCAATGAATCAATGAATTCTATAGCTTGTCCTTTCAAATTGTATCCAGAATCCAGCCACTTTTTCCATTTCCACCCTGGTTGAAACACCATCATCACTCACCAGGAATACTGAATTACACTCCTAACTGGATTCCACCTTTTGTTCTCTGGTGCCCTGCTGTGTAGCCTCATACAGCAGCCAAGTGAACCTCCTAAAATTAATTAAATCAGATTGTTCCTCAACCCTGAACTTACTCTGTAAATCTGAAATGAAATCTAAATTCTACTACCTTCTTTGTCAGCTTTTTCCCTACTTACTGCACTCTCTTTGCACTGAACCCCTTGTTTATAATGTAATTCTTAAAAATAACGTGTGTATGTATAAAAAGTGAGAAAGAATAGGACCTACTATAAAATGTGAATAATAATTATATATGGGTAAATTATAGCCAAATATAGTTTTTTATTGCAAAGAAGTATTTCTAACTTATGTTTTGATGAATAACTTATGTAGTAAAATATATAAAAAGCTGCGTATAAAACCTCTTAGACCCAATGTAGTAATAGTATTTAACTATATACAAAATCTGGAAATAAACCATGCATGTCACTAATTAAAAAAAAAATAGAACAAGAGAAATTTTAAAAATCAAAAATTCAAAAAAAATTTACATGTAGAAATGGTAGTATTTACCAATATATATGATCCAGGCACTTTCGTGCATTATTTCAATTAATTCTCATAATAACACTTTGTGATGAGAACTGTTATCCTCATGTTACTGATGTGTAAAATGAGGCTCAGAAAGGTTAAATAAGTTGCTGGAAGTGGCAGAGTGGTGAAGCCCATTGCCTTGAATGGTCGTGTTCTAAATACTATGGTAAATTCGGCTTCATCATAGGCATATACAATAGTGCAAAACTAAAATGACATAGACATCCAGTAACAGTGAAAAAAAAGGACATCATGTAAAAATGCTTACTGAAACTAGAATTATGTAGAATATATGGGTATGTTACATGAAAAAGCCAACTATCACATTCTACTCAGGAGTACAAAAAATTTAATATTTCATATGGAAATAGGTCAAAATAAGCCAATACATTAATGTTGGTCCAGTTTGGGCAATAGAACTTGGGCGGTTTTGTTTTCTTTTGTATTTGTATTTTCCAGATTTTCGTGAATGCGTCAGAACTGCTTTTAAAACAACAACAACAAAAAGAAAACCCTAAATTACATGGAACAAAAAGTTTTGTTTGTAAAAGAAAAACTCAGCATCCAGTGTCTTCCCAGCTATAGATTTCAAGTCTGGATCTAAACTAGGTAAAACTTATTTAAAAGGTGATCTACAGTCTTATGATTGACATCTGGGGACTTTCCATGGACCAGTTTTCTTCAAAGGATCTTATGATACTCTATTTTCTTTGTAGCCTACGTTAAAATGGGCCTATTAAGAGCTTATCGGGATTGATGCCCGTGTAGCTTAGATGGTCCAAACCTAATTATCTCTTTCCACAGAAAGAACGTAACTCAAAAGCATTTCCAAACTACCTCTGGAGTGTGTATCTTGCACGAAAGTAGTAATACTTAAAAGGAATGAAAGGTGGTTAAAAAAAAAAAAAGTCAAAACCGCAGGCTTGTTCTCAAAACCTTGTCTCGGGGCCAGTAAACTTTTTTGGTAGTAGGGCGCCAAGCGTTATGGGTTTTACGCTCTCTGTTGGCAAAACAAAGTCGACCTCTGCTTTTTTGAATTCGGTCTTCACGGGGGTCAACAAGGTGTCTCAGGGACGCGGGAGCCCGCGACGCCAGGCCCCCAGGCCGCGGCTTCTAGGTAGGACCTACTCAGTACCAGTCGGACCGGCCGGGCGACTCCGGGAAAGCGCCTTGTCGGTAAAACCGGCAAGAGCGGCACGCCTGACAGGGACCAAAGAGCGCAGGCTCAAGGCCGGAAGGAGGAGACACAGTAGCTGGGCGGGTCGGCCAGGCGCGGCGCGAAGGTACCGACTAGAAATAATCAGCTCTTATCCTGCATCCGCCGCTACAGGGCGGGCTCTGCCTGGTAAGGCGGGCCGCGGCCGCCTCAGTCACGCCCACCCCTTGCCCCTGACGCACGCACATATGCACGCACGCACGCGCTACCCTGGGCGCGCGGGCGGAGCGCCCACAGACAGGGAAGCGCGTGCTCGCGGAGGCGCCGTCGCGTCAGGGACTTCCGGCCAGCGGGTTCTGCGGCTATGCTGTCCCTTCCGCGCCTGCTAGGTGTAGGAATGCCTGCGGCTCTAAGGTGCAGAGGTTCTCGAATTCTGGGAGGAAAAGCAGCAAGAGTGAAAAGTTGGGTTTAAGTTTCTCTTACTAAACGTTTGCGGAATTATTAAACTAATAACTGATGTTTGCTTTAATTTTAACTCTGCCTTCCCTAAATCCTATTCTTCCAAAACTGCAACACAACTTTGGGGGAATCCTTGACAAATCCCTCCTAGTGCGGTCTGAACTGGTAGTAACCGTGCAAGCGAATTGGTGAGAAAATCTTAATGGAAATTTGCCAGTATCATTTTGTGAAGAGTTCCTTCTTTTTCTATGCTTTAAAAAATAAAACAAACAAAAAAAAGTGAAGGGTTTGTCCAAGTCTAAACTTGAGCCAGTCATAATGTGGCTTCAAACCTGAATAATTTAGCGTCTGTTCTGCCCATTTTTACCCACAACTCATATAGCATGGCTAGCACAAGTAACGCATATTAAATTGTCAAATTACTATGTTTTACATTAGAAACTAATGTAACATTGCATGTCAGCTATAATTCAATTAAGAAATTTTTTAGAATCATAAAGCAGAGGGGACCAGGGAGATAATAATATGATTGAGGAAACTGGAATTAACCTGTGAGCTCTCTGCTACTCAGCAACAAGGAAGAGACTACAGCCTCTGGACCCAGAGAAAATAAGGTGTATCTGGATGGTAATACAGTGTTCTTTCCATTACCTTTATTTTTTTATTTTTTAAAGGGACCTCCCCCTTATTTTTTTCGCCATTACCTTTAACTCAAAACACATTTGAATATCAAAGAGCTGTGTTGGTGGGTACTCAATAAATAGATGCTAAACAAATGACATTTCTGTGGGAAGCAGCAGAGTAAGAGGGAAAGAGCACAGACTTGCATGTTAGATTTCATTTCATACCCTGGCTTGGCACTTAGGAACTGAGTCATCATAAGCAAGTTCCCTTACCTCCAAGTGCCAGTGTGCTAGGCTTCTTTTGCCTTAAAGTATATTCTACTTTATATCCAAGATGAGATCTTACAGGTTTGCACTTATTTCCAAGAAGAAATCTAATAGGTTTACACATACATACACTATGTTCATCTCTTTTAACTTAAAATTTTATTTTAAAAAAATTTTTTTTTCAACGTTTATTTATTTTTTGGGGGACAGAGAGAGACAGAGCATGAACAGGGGAAGGGCAGAGAGAGAGGGAGACACAGAATCGGAAACAGGCTCCAGGCTCTGAGCCATCCGCCCAGAGCCCGACGCGGGGCTCGAACTCACGGACCGCGAGATCGTGACCTGGCTGAAGTCGGACGCTTAACCGACTGCGCCACCCAGGCGCCCCTAAAATTTTTTTTGTTATTTTAATACATTTGAGCCAATCTGGCTACAAGGACACGTGGCCTTGCCTTCACTTGGAGTGGGACAGAGAATATAATAAGCCATAAATATAAGGCTGAATTCATACTATTTGAAAAGGTATACAGGGATTTGAATCTAGAGGCAGGAAGCAATTAGAGCTCTGAAATCCCATAGGTAGATAAATATATGGTTTAAGATAGAAACCATCCTTAACATATTTCTGGAACCTTTTTCCTCTGAAAAAAAGTCTTCCAAGTTATTAAACCTGAATCTCATTGTTAAGAACAAGAAAAATCCTTCACAAAGAAAACGATGTAATTAAGGACCACATAAAGAAATGCTACAATGGAGTTGGGGAGGAAAGGGAATCCACAAAAATCAGTAATTACGCAAGGATTAGTGTTCCACAAAGGTAAAACGCTGAACATTTTAAACAGGTTAAGGAGTCAACCAACGAAAGACTCATTTTGTACGAATGTTTGTAAATCTTCCCCTCCGAAAACCAAGATATATAACAAGCCAGGTAGTATGAGCTCCAATTTCTACGGTTAAACCAAACTCAGTAAGAATGAAAGTGATGGTCACCTGATTTCAGGTATCATAGTATAAAGATATTTTTGAGAGAACGTAAAAACCTACATGGTGTTAAAAGCTCTCCAAGAGCCAGTACATATTTTCTCATAAAACATTTCATTTAATCCCATTACTGTAGAATTCATTACAGAAAAACAAAATCGCATTAAGTGATTTGGACCAAAAATGTTACTGAACCAGCAAACCTAAAGGCTCCTGAATCGTTACTCTTGAACAGTAAAAGCTGAAAGAAATTCAAACGTTTCAAATAAATCTAACAATTAATAATTCCATATTAAAAGACATTTACATTCTAAAACAGCCCTAACTTCCCAGTATTCTCAAAATGTCTTTCACCAACTCTCCTTCAATGCCACTTGAGATTGGGTTATCTAACCAGTAACGAGGTATTATGCCTCCAACGCAGCCCCGCAGCCAAATCATATTGTTTGCCCTAGTTGGAGAATTAACTCAACTTGTGGGCCCCACCGTGAAACCAGTTCTCGGAACCGCACACAAAATACCGATATCCCACTCACTCTGGTCCCTTCTCTAGCAAGTTTCCAGAGCCAAACGTTCGGTGCTAATACTAACTACCGGGCAAGCCCCAGTCACTGGTCACTAAACCCTTGGCAGGTGCCGCCTATACTTCCACACGCCCAACCCCCGTCCCGGAACTTGCGTCATGGCGCTCGTGCGCTCTGTCCCCGGATGCACTTTTATATCCGGATTCTTAGAGCGGACTCAGAGCTCCACGGTTCCCTACGCGGTTAGCACATGCGCGACGCTTCTGCTCCCTCTTCCACCACTTCCACTAGCTTCCACCGTCCGGGAAGCCGCCGCCACCGCCGCCGAGGAGTCAGGAAGTTCAAGATGGCCGCCGCCGAGACTCTGTCGCTGCGGGAACAGCCCGAGTGAGTAGTCTCTGTGAGCTGTGCGGAAGGCCGGAGCCCAGGAGACTGCCGAGTGGGAAACGGCGGAGACCTGCACGGGCTGGCGGGAAAGTTCAGGCCTAACGGCGAGAGCCAAACTTTGCCTTTACCCGCGCGATACGTTGTTGGGCGGGAGGCTTGGGGGGCGGGCGGGCGGCCTTCGAGCTTCGCTTTCCCGGAGGCCACGGCTGTTGGGTCGGAGGCGGCCGCGGCCTGCCGCGCGTCGTTGCCCTGGGAGGCGTACGCGCGAGCGGCCTCTACAGGTCCCGTGCGCGAGGCGGCTGCCGCGACCGTGCGGTCGCGCCTTCGTATTCCTCCCGCAGGGACCGAGCGGAGCTCCTTGGCTGCAGCACTGAGCGGCATCGGTGTTGGCACCCGAGGAGCAGTGGCGGCAGGGAGGCAAGCGATAATACTTTTCTTCTGCATGCAGTAACCTGCCGTTGTCCTGCTGCTGGTGTCAATTTTAGGACCTGAAAGTAGGGAGGAGGGGATGCTAGGACCACCTCTTTGAATATCCCAGACCTATATAATAGCGGGGTGCTTCGTTTCCTCACCCCGGTGCTCTTAATCCAGCATCACTTGATATATTTTTAACCCCTCTGCCTAGTGGCAGCTTATTTGCCAACTTGCAAACTTGAGGCAAAGTAAGATCAAGTCCTTGGTTTTGAGGCCTGACGTTTTTGGCCTGAGTTTATAGGGCTTCTTGGGAGTATGAGTGGAAGAAATAGTAGCTCCTTCCAAACCCAAGTGCTTTATGTCTGTAATTAAGGTAATGTAAGAATCGATGCGGCCGAATGAAAATATAACTTGTATGTGCTGCAAAGTCTGATCTTTGCTTAAAAGCAGCATTTTGTTCCCCTCTTCGTGTTTGGAAAACTCAAACAAGAACCTAAAAGGATTTTAAAAGAGTGTTCATATAGCGACCGTTTTGTGCATCAGCATTAGCTTGCCTTTTTTTTTTTTTTTTTTTTTTTTTTTTTTTTTTTTTTTTTTAACCCATCTTAGGAGAGAGGTAGATCTAGTCTCCCAGCAACTAGAGACTGAAAGGAGAAATTTTTACTACCAGGCAGCCCAACACGTCATTGCTGTGCATCCAGTTTTGGACTCCTCAGTCATTTGCTTTACTCAGAATTACACTGAGTTTTTCATTAAGGGCTTTTGAAAGCTTTATTATCTTTACAATTTTGACTTAGAGCAATTGGGTTGTAAGTTTTACCTAGACTTTGCCTCTTTGTTTCTCATTGAGTTCACAGTGTGGCACAGTTACAGTATTTATGTCATAGTAAAAATGTTATACAGCTGTTTTTTCTAGCAATCTCTTTAACGTTCTTTAGTATTATGTCCATTTGTTTGATTTGAGGGACCATTCAGATTCATTTTGACGAGTGCTTGAGCCATATTTTCTATGCATATTCAAATACTCGTCTTAATATTTATTTAGGCCCCTGCAATATGAATGCCACTGAAATAAACCTTGATTCCACATCCCCTTCGCACAGAACTCTTGGTATAACTGGAGTATTTGTTCTGTAAGTGTCCCACTTATTTTAAAATGTTTGACAAAGAAAATAAATTTAGTATGAAAGCAAGCACTGTGTGTGCTGCTCATAGTGAATGCTGGGATGTAATATCTACACAGTTCTTTAGAGGACACTGAGTAGTTTACAGTTGTATGGACTCTATTCAAAGTGGAACGTTTGAGAAGAAATAAATATGAAAAACAGCTTTTAAGTTCCCTGAAGGCTTTTTAATGACTTTTACGTTTGTCCATCTCTTTAGCTCTGCCTCTTTGGTGGTTTTAAACATTTAAGTTTTTATCTGCATTCACTTATTTGCACTTACCAAGTACTAGGTACTATTCAAAGCACTGAACGGCTATCTTATCGTTATAATGACCCTTTGGAAGTGGATACAGTTGTTTCCTATATTTTACAGATGATGAAACTAAAGCACAGAGAAATTAAGGGTACTTAGCCAGCCAGGGTCACACTAAGTGATAGACCCAAGATTTAAACCCAGGAAGTCTGATTCTAGAGACCTGCTCCTAACTGTTGTACTATCAGGTCACCCACTATACATTGTGGTTCCTTTTTAAAATATCCTTTAGGGTTTGAAATCATTTTTATTTACTTCCATTGTCCCCAAAAGGTCCATTTTTTTTATGTGACAGTTCTAATTCTTTGAAGCTTAATTTTTCACACCCGATTTGGAAAAGGAGGGGCGGAGGAGTTCATTTTAAGACTACGTGGTCTTTTGAATCATTCTTATTTTTTATGTCTATGTGAATACTGTGTTAAAGTAGTTTAACTTATCAGACAAGCAGGCTTAAATTACTTTCTTTGTAAAGAAGTAATGGCGTTCACTTTGCTCTCCATTCTCTGTTTCCAAAACATTAATTGAATGCCTCCCAAATAAGATGTCATTAGAAGCATTCTTATGAAAAAATTTGAAAGAAGAAATTAACACTGGTGGTTTGTAATTAGTCTTTATTTTAAACTTTATTTTAAAGTTGTTTCATTGCTATTTTCTTTGTGTCAGATGCCTAGAGACCCTTGTTTGAAGGATGAAACTTGTACATTGCATTTAACAAAATAAATGAATAAATACTGTTAAACACCCCTATAGTCTTCACTTCAAATTCAGCTTTGTTTCCAAATAATGTAATTTGAAGGATGTTTCTCAGTTCTCAATGAGTATGACAAATAATTGTAGATCGTGTTGGTTTAAACATACACCTGCTAAATGTGTAGTGTTAAGTTGCAAAATGTAAATTTACATTTGTGGGAGTTATATGCCTGTATTATAAATATAAACTATGCAAAAAGACTATGAGATTTATCAAGGTACCTTTCCCTAAAGTTTTAGAAAAAAGTTGATAATGAACCTAAATTAGCTGCCTTAGCACAAGCTTGTTATATGCAATATGCCTTTGCTTCATTGAGTTCAGGTTTTCCTGATGTACCTAATCAGACTTCAATTGGTATATTCTATGGAATTTGCATTGAGAGAGCCAACTGAGGAGGGCGTAAATGTCTGCTAACCCTAATGTAGGAGAACTCTAGAATTAAGGTTGAATTGACTTAGTAGGCCCTAAGGTGCTTGTAGCATTTTTATCAGTAAGGTAGTCATTATTTCTTGAGGTTAACAGTCACTAAGATACATTAGAAACAAGGATCACTCATGGGAGTAACTCTTAAGTGACATTGGGCATCACAGTGTAGCTTCTGATTCTCAGAAGCTTTAGGAGCTAGGTTTTCTTTTGAAGGAAATTACTTCCTTTGTGGGTAAACTCTTAAGAATTTTGATTTGAAACTCCTTGGAGACTTGTAACTTGTAGAAGAAAGCATTAGAAAAGTGTTCAAAGGGTATATTTTTCCTAGGTAGGGAGCTGATTAAATTTTAAATTATTTTGAGTTACTGCATTCGCCAGATAGGTGTGTGCACTGTGTGAGGCACTGGAGATCTGACTGAGCAAAACCAAATTGTTTCCTGTTAAGAGGTAAGAGTATAGTATAGCAACTATAAACCCAACTGTAATCTCATGAATACAGTTTTTATGTGTTATTCTATACAAATTATTTCATTGACACAACAAATTACTTACTGAATACCTGCTTACTATAGGTTAGACAATTTACTAGGTCTTAGTGCAGTGAACTACACAGATTAAAAATCTGCTCTCATGAGACTTGTGTTACGATAGGCAAACACAAAAACTTGGTTGCAGTTACTTTAGAGAAAAAAATAGGAAGGGAATATGTGTGTGGTATAGTGAGGGTTGTGATTTAAATGAATTGGTGAGGAAAACTTGACTGAGAAAGTACTTTGAGCAAAGGCCTGAGTTAGGCAAAGGAACCAGCAATGTATGCATCTGGGGAAAGCATTCCAGGTGGAGAAACAGCAAGTACAAGTACCAGAGCCCTGAGGTAGGGGTGTACCTGTTGTTCAAGGTGAGCGGTGTGGCTGAATGACTGAAGCATGGTGAGTGTGGGACAAAAGTAGGATCAAAGTGTTGGGAAGGTTGGGCAGATAATGTAGGGCTTTGTAAACAATTTTGGTTTTTACTCTGAATAAAATATGAAGCAATAATCAAGTTTCACACAGAGTAGGGATAGGATCTGACATTTTAAAATCCATCTTCAGTCAATTGGAAGAGCTCTTGACTCTCTTGGAATGTAATACTAGCCTTCTCACTAGCTTGATGTATGTGTGACTGAAGGCAAGACCATTGAACTTCCTTGAAACTTAAAATCTCTGTCGTGGAGACTGAGACAGTATTTCTTCAGTGCTTTGTGTGGTAGCCTTTTACATACAAACTCAACATTCTTAGCATCAGCTCTGACAGCTCCACAGTGTCCTAGTGAGTAAGTAGATTTATCCAGTCTCTAATAATCTCTTACTTTGGGGGCCCTAGGTTTGTTCTAGGCACTATTATGAGCCTTGATAACATCTGTTAATCCATGCAGTCCTCAGCTTACTTTGAGGTAGGGAATATTTTCTCCGTTTTGTAGATGAGGTGCCTGCAGACTAGAGAGAACTTAAAATTTGCCTAATGCACAACTAGTAAGCATTCGGACCAGGATTTGAACTCAGTCTGGCATTGGAGACTGGCTTCCTAAGACACATTAGAGGATCTTTAGATAGTTTTGAGTTTTAGCTTGTTGACTAGAATTTTGTACTTCGGGCACTGAGATTTTATATACCTAAAAATCATTCACAACCTTTAAACAGGTTCTCCATACCTGTCTCCATATCAGGAATTAGCCTAATTCAGTTTTCCTCATATTTGCCCCTAGAAGTCAAGTTTCCAGAAAAAAGACCTATGCTCCCACTTCCTAGGTTGTGCGATGGGAGATTTCAGGGGAAGGGATGTGGTTACCTGTATGAGGGTATAGTCTGTATAACAAACAAAGTTGAAATTCTTTGTATCTTCTACTTAAGTTCGTGATTTCCCCTTACCCATAATAGAACCATGTTGTTTTTAACATAAAGATGTTACACTTTTTTTTCCAAGTCTTTGAGAAAATTTGATGATCCAGATAACGCTGCTATATTTATTCTTTTTTCTCATACCCCATTAGAGAGAAGTCAGACCAAACTAAAACCTCTCAACTGGAAGGTACAGCTTTTTCTGCAGCTCTCTTCAGCACTTTCTCCTTTCTCACATTCCACAGTACCAAAATGGAGATTGGCAATCTGACAAAAATTTAAAGTTCTTGCCATGCGGTAGTTATATGTTCTTCATGTTCTCCACATCCCTTCATTGTTGTCAACTAGTAACTTTCCAAGCCTACTGCGGTGTGTCCTCTCCCTCCTCTAGCCTTTTCAAGTTTACTGAAGACTGATACCTAGCTGGAGGAACAGACTTGCCTCCCAACTCCTCTGTAATAGCAGTGTCCTTACAGACCACCTATCCAGTAACCTAATCTTGCAGTTCCTGGGCCTCTGACCCCAATTAGCCTCTAACTATCTCAGCCACTCATTCCCAGAATCTTGTGCAGTATCTCTTTATCTCCTGGAATTGGTCCATGGAGATCTTAACCACTAGACCAGTTACTTCATGAGTTTTGATGCCCTGGCAACACTGATCTGCTTCTGGTTTGCTATTTATAACTGTGCCTTTTGTCACCTTTTTTTCTATCGAAAATACTCTTTTCCCTTCTTGTTAATTTATTATTGTTTAGGACTATGTTACTCAACTTTTATTTTATAATCCATGTACCTTCTCAGTAAACATTCCTTCTCCTTTCAAAGTCCTTGCTTAACACAGCTTGGGTTTTTCTTTGATCTCCTTGACCATTTTCAAAGTGGTTTTAGGTGATCCCTTGGTGTTCCCATAATGCCCTTATTTATGTTTTTATCATTGCCTTCTTGCAGTGTTTCATGTGACTTTCTTTTCCATTGGACTGTTATTTCCTTGAGAGTGGGAGATATGGTCTTGTACATCTTTGTTTTCCTGCTACCTTTTCTAATGTCTACATTGTGTAGTGATTTTTAAAAAAATTGAATTCCTTCATTTTTTGGCATGATAATTTTTCTGAAAGTACAGCAGTACATAATTTGAAGGATTTGGACAAAATAATCCGTATCTTCCTACAAAAATAGTGTTTTGTTCTGAATCCAGATGACTTAGTGTTTTGATGTTTGTCTCATATTCTGGGGCGTGATGTTTTACTATGGAGTGATTTTAAAGGGGAAAGGTAATTAATGCCATTGTAGCCTGTGTTTAACCTGGGATTAACAATAGCAGGGATTTAGCAAAATAATTTAGCATCATAAACTAAGCATAGCCCAGGCATTTAAACACAAAAGCTACCCCCTTGATGTATTTGAATGTTTTTTTGCATGGTACCTATCAATATGAGCATATTTTGGGAAACTAATCTTTCATTTGAAATTTAAAGAGATTAAATAGCCCAGTGAACTGATATTGAACCATAGGCTATTGCTGATATTGGACTGTTGTTCACCTGCAGAAGACCCTTCGATGTCTTTCAGTCTAATACCACATGGTTGCTCATTGGGTACCACAGACTGAAAGTATAGTTCTCAATTTAAAGTGGAGAAAGAGATTAGTCTCCCAATGTATGTCAGTGTTTTATGGGAAAAAAAAATTGGGAGGGGGATGCCTTTGGTGTTAAATCTGTGTGAAAAATTCTGGTTTAAAAACAAGTTACTGAGTGTTTAAATCAATATTAACGTTTTACTGTACCTGTTTTGGATTTTCTTTTTCTATTCAGTGTAATTATTTATCTTCCGTCATTGTGTATTTCTTCTATGTATTTTAGTGCAACCATTAGAAATAAAGCTAAACCACTATTTAAGTCAGTTTTGCCAGGTATTTTGAAATGTCTGAAGCTGTTGTGAAAATATTTCAGTGACTAACTTCATGTATTACATTGAGATGTATTTAACATTATTTTGTTGTGATCAAATCTTGATAAATGATAGGATTTTGAAATGTGTTTGATACATTTATAGGATAGAAGATGCTGATAATTCCGAGAAGAGTGTAAATGAAGAAAATGGGGAAGTATCAGAAGACCAATCTCAAAATAAGCACAGTCGTCACAAAAAAAAGAAGCATAAACACAGAAGTAAACATAAGAAACATAAACATTCCTCAGAAGAAGATAAGGATAAAAAACATAAACATAAGCATAAACATAAGAAACACAAAAGAAAAGAGGTCATTGATGCCTCTGACAAAGAAGGTATGTCTCCAGCAAAAAGAACTAAACTTGATGATTTAGCTTTGCTGGAAGACTTGGAAAAACAGAGAGCCTTGATTAAAGCTGAACTTGATAATGAGTTAATGGAAGGAAAGGTCCAATCTGGGATGGGGCTCATATTGCAAGGTTATGAGTCTGGCTCTGAAGAAGAGGGGGAGATTCATGAAAAGGCAAGAAATGGAAATAGGTCTAGTACCAGATCTTCAAGTACAAAGGGGAAACTCGAACTTATGGACAATAAAAATAGTACAAAAAAGCGAAGTAAAAGCAGATCCAAAGAACGGACTAGACATAGGTCTGATAAAAAGAAAAGTAAGGGAGGTGTTGAAATAGTTAAAGAAAAGACAACTAGGAGCAAATCAAAGGAGAGGAAAAAGTCCAAAAGTCCATCCAAAAGAAGTAAGTCTCAAGATCAGGCAAGGAAATCAAAATCCCCTACCCTTAGAAGGAGATCTCAAGAGAAAATTGGAAAGGCCAGATCTCCTACTGATGACAAGGTTAAAACCGAAGATAAAAGTAGGTCAAAAGATAGGAAAAAATCCCCAATTATAAATGAAAGTAGAAGTCGTGATCGAGGCAAAAAATCCAGATCCCCAGTTGATTTAAGAGGTAAATCCAAAGACAGAAGATCACGATCCAAAGAGAGAAAATCAAAACGGTCTGAAACAGATAAAGAAAAGAAGCCAATTAAATCTCCCTCTAAAGATGCTTCTTCTGGGAAAGAAAACAGGTCACCCAGTAGAAGACCTGGTCGAAGTCCTAAAAGAAGAAGTTTGTCTCCAAAACAGCGTGATAAATCAAGGAGAAGTAGATCTCCACTAGTAAATGATAGGAGGTCTAAGCAGAGCAAATCACCTTCTCGAACTCTGTCTCCTGGTAGAAGAGCCAAGAGCCGATCCTTGGAAAGAAAACGAAGAGAACCAGAAAGGAGACGACTTTCTTCTCCAAGGTAACTTTTGTTTTCAAAATATTAATGCTTTCTGCCAATACATCAGATTTTAAAAAGGAGAAACTAGAATTTGTGAACAATAAAAAAAAGTGGTGGTGTTAATATACTTTTAACATAGATCCTGCCCACTAACTATATTAACATTTGTACTTTTGTCAGCAAATATCTTGACTATGGGATTTAAAAATATCGAACTGTTGAATTATATATTAAAAATATTGAATTGAAATACTGAACTGTTGAATTGAGTTATATATTAAAAATATTGAATTGAAATGTTGACAGGTTTTTTTCAAGTTCTTAATTTAGTACCTAATTTGCAGAATCACTCCTTTAAATCCAAATAATTTGGCTGATAAATCTATGTGTACCCATTTATGGGAATTTCTAGAGCAAGGATTATGACTTTATTGGACAGTATAGGCTTAAGATTTTAACTTTAAAAAAGAGGTATCAATTTAAGGCTTGTGATGTATCCATTCTCTTGAGTTGGCATAATTTTGAGTTCTGACAATATAAATTGGAACTACCAAATTTTTTGGCCCCCAAAATTAAATTCAAAGTGGACATTTTTTGGGGCACCTGGGTGGCGCAATCGGTTAAGCGTCCGACTTCAGCCAGGTCACGATCTCGCGGTCCGTGAGTTCGAGCCCCGTGTCGGGCTCTGGGCTGATGGCTCAGAGCCTGGAGCCTGTTTCCGATTCTGTGTCTCCCTCTCTCTCTGCCCCTCCCCCGTTCATGCTCTGTCTCTCTCTGTCCCAAAAATAAATAAACGTTGAAAAAAATTTAAAAAAAATCAAAGTGGACATTTTTTTTGTTACTAATTCATATGCTTATAATCTCAATGTTTAAATAATAGTACCTTTTAATTTTAAGAATAGTGTAAGAAATGATTTTATTTTCTTAATAATAATGAAAGTAATTCATTTTTGCGTAATACAATACTCTTGGCCCATCATATTTTTTCTCAAATACTCATGATTCTCTCTCCTTATAAAGTGGAGTAACTCTTATACTCTATTTGTAAATGAGAAAAAAGATTGCAAGATTATCTAACTTACCCAGGATCATAGACCTAATAGGTAATTTAGGCACATGAAAGATTTTGGAAGAGGGGGTGGGGGTTGTTTAGTCTAAACTACTTCAGAAACATTTTTAGTATCTTTATATTTAATAAGCAGATGAAATTATCAGCAGAGTTTAGCTTAAAAGAATGTTGGCTTATACAATGTGAAGATATAAATTCCTAGCCATTTACTCTGTGTGAGTATACATACAAGCTGACCTTGAAGTGTAAATGGTTCTCTGAAAAATTTTAAGAATGCTGTTTTCAAAATGCTGTATATTAGGAAATACTCTTGATTTTTCTAAATGACATTATAATTAAATGGCCCCCTTCTTTCTTTAGCTTTCTAAATTGAGATGGTTGTTAGTGTTGCTGATTATGTCTTCTAAAGTGTTTCCAAATGATTCTTGTCTCTTTCAATTTTGTTTCCATTTGAAAAGGAAATTCTGAGCAGTTTATTAAGGACTAGAGTTGAATATTTGAAACAAAATTTTGTTTTAATTACAGAAAAGATACTAACTCAGAGAAATTCAGATAAGGCAGAAGCCTGTAAATTCTCTCCCTTTCCATCCCTTCTGCAGTACCAGTCACAAGAATGTCCTTCTAGCCCTTTTTTTTTTTTATGCACATCGAATTCTATGAATGTTCTTTCTTACAAAAATGGAGTCTTCCTATTCACGTGAACAGTGATTTTTTTCATGAAACATTTTTGTGACAATAAAGATCTTTTAAGTGTTTATATAACAGCACCATATTTCGCAGTATAGATATATCATAACGCAGTTGACCCTGGAACAACACAGAGGTTAGGGGGGGCCAGTCCCCCACATAGTCAGAAATGTGCATATAACACTTGACTCTCCCAAAATTTATTACTAGTAGCCTACTGCTAACTGGAAGCCTTATCAATAAAACTTAGTCAATTGGCATATTTGTTGTATGTATTGTATATTGTATTCTTTAAGTTAGAGGTAAAATCATAAGGATGAGTAAATATATTTACAGTACTGTAAAAAATCTACGTGTAAGTGGACCTGTGCAGTTCAAACCCATGTTCAAGGGTCACCTCTAATCATCCCCCTTTTTCAGATGAAAATTTTAGTTGGTGTCAGTTTTTCATGATCGTATGCTACTATGTCCGTTGTTTACATGTGAAGGTTCTTTGTAGAATAGATTCATAGAAATGGAATTGCAAAGTCTAAGGTAATGTACATTTACATTTTAGAAAGTTACTGCCAAATGTCTTTCCGGGAAAGTTACACCAATATGTATTTCCATGACTAGATAGGCTGTCCTTTTCTCTAAATCCTTACTTATATTCCCTCTGTTTAAAGGTTAACATTGATTGTAAGATGCTATTATATGTAATATATTAAAAAGAAGACTCTATATTGGGAAAATGTCAAAATTTAGAAACAGTCTTCAAACTAAGGAAGTGGAATACTATTACTCACTTAGGCAAGTTTTATTTGAGTTGTGTATCTGGAATTAGAATCAGTGACTTTAATAATGTGAATAGCCATCATAATTCTTCAGATTGTGAGATGACAGGAAGTATACCATTTTTACTGTGTGCCTACCACAACAACACCAAAATGTCATTGTGATTTTCTGAATTTAAGTTTTGTTAAAAAACCTGTTAATATTTGTTTACTGTCTTCATGTTTAGTGCACCCTTTCTTAAGATGTTCTTTATGTGCAAAACAAATTCATTAATTTGATGTGTTTTTCTATAACTTGGATTTGGTCCCCTTAAGAACACGACCTCGAGATGATATCCTCAGTAGACGTGAAAGATCAAAAGATGCCAGCCCCATCAATAGGTGGTCCCCAACCCGAAGAAGAGCAAGTAGATCTCCCATTAGAAGGCGGTCTCGTTCCCCACTCAGACGAAGTAGGTCACCCAGGAGAAGAAGCAGGTCTCCTCGGAGAAGGTAAAATAGCGTTACATATGTTGTTCTTTTGATTCATTAAACTGTATGCTTCTGAAGCCTCATATTAGCTCAGTTGGTAGGTTTTCTTAGAGACCGTTTTTCTCTGAAAAATTGTAGCTGTGATCCCATATAGTTTCCTTTTTCCCAACATGTGATATTTCACATACACTGATTTTTCTTTAATATAGCTTTTTTTCAAATTTAAATAAATCAGTGTTCATTAAAAACTCATTCTTTTAAAAGGGAAAAATTTTTTTCCCCTACTTAAGATAAATACTACATGAGCTGTGCTTTTTTGTTTTGTTTTGTTTTTTTGAACAGGATAGATCATAAGGTAATAAAAAAGTAGCCGAGTTTCTGGTCATATAATTTCATTTCTCTGTTTTTCTATTAATTTGTATTTGGTCCCCTTAGAACGTGACTTCAAGATGATAACCTTAGTAGATGTGAAAGACAATCTCGGCAAACACTTGTTTAATTAACCATTTTATGTGATGCACATGTAGTGAGTTGGTTAATCAAAATGTTGGTTTATAAAGCACAAATCATTTTTAAAATATATGCATTAAATATTTTAACTCAAACATAAGTAGACTTCCATTTGCCAATTTTTAATGTTTTTAAAAGATAACATACCAAAGGCTTATATTGCAACCAGTGGATAGATCTTTACATTATCTGAGTATTTTTGTATACTAGATTCCTTGAAGTGCTTTGTCCAAGGTTGTGTATGTTAAAATTTTTAGAAGTTATTACCATATTATCTATTGATTTCTTATTCTGGACAATTACTGTTTTTTAATCCCCCCCCCACATACACACTTTTCTACCTAATTGTACGATATTTCCCCGTGCTTCCAGTTATAATCATTATGATCATGTGCATATTGCTCATTGCTGAGCAGACGGGAGAAGGGGCAAGAAAAGACCTTCCTTCTAATGCTTCTAGCCTTTGAGCTCCAAACTGACGAATAGGCCTGCTTAAACAGTTATTGTAGGAATTGTTTTCCCTTTTCTGTCGTCTTGGCAGTCTCTCTTATTTTGTGATTCTCTTTCCTGTATCCAGCATCTTCATATTTTATTTCCTTGCTTTGTTAATGCCTTTACAATAGTTTCCTGCGAAAAGTACATGAAAAGGACATTTTGGGGGACCTTTGTCTCTTTAAAAAAAGAAAAGGCTTTTGTCTTCACTGCTGATTTGTTAAGGAATAGAATTCCAAGTTGAAATCATTTTTTCCCTTAAGAATTTTGAAATTGTTATTCCACTAACTTCTAGTTTCCAGTAGTTTTCTGGTCATTAAATAGGCCCTTTATTTAAATTTACTTACTTAAGTTTACTTTTTGAGAGAACGTGCAAGGGCAAAGAAAGGTTCTACGCTGTATGGAACCTGATTGGGGGCTCTGACCAAACAGATCATGACTTGAGCTGAAGTCTGACACTTAACCCACCACTGAGGCACCCAGGTGCTCCCTAAATAGGCTTTAAAGCAGGAAGATTATGGCTACCTATTCTGGGAAATTTTCTTTGTTTGCTTTTTTGCCCATTGTTTTCTTCATCCCTGCATTGGATCTTCTGTATTGTTCCACTCATTCCCCCTCTATGCACACTCATCTTTTAGGTTTGTCCTTTTGTTCTGCTTTTAGTGTAAATTTTCTTGTTCTGCCTTCTTACCTTTCTATATTTTTTCCTGTGCTCATATATATGTATTTTTATTTCCAAGATTTGTTGGCTGTTTAATTTTTTTCTGCCATTTTAACTTGTTTTATAGAAATAGCATCTCCTACATCAAAGATTATAATGAGTTTGCTTTGTGGAGTTTTGTTCTTAATGATTTTCTTTTCTTACTTTCTTTCTTCCCAGAATCCTTTTGCTGCTCATTTACCTTTATCATTTGAGGACTTTATTCAAACAGCTGGATCCTATTCTCATTTAAAACTTAGCCACTGAGAAAGCTGAATGGAAGCTTTCTTCCATTCTGAGAATGTAGAATTTGTGGCTTCATTGTGATATCTTTAGCATATCCTTGACTATAGTTCTTTTAGGTTAGCAGTTTTCCAGAATCCTCTCATCTGCTGGAGAATGTAGACATGGCTGCCAGTAGAGTTCTGATTCTTCATAATGTAGACTTCCCCTAATCCTTCCATTTTCAGTACTGTGCCTCCCCGCTACCTTGGGTCAGTTTTGATAACAACCAACACCTCTATAAATTTAAGTATTTTGCCAGAATGTGAAGGGGAATGGTTGGCATTTTCTGCTGAGTCAGGAAGGAGGCAGAATACACAGAAGCCAGCTATTCCTAAAGGCTTTCAACCAGTTTTTATTTAGCTTTTACCTACAGGATATGGTGTCTCCAATGCTTGAGGCTTTCTGGAGTTTTGTGGCATGGATTTACTTGTTTCTTATATATCTTGTCTGTTCCTGTTAGACTTATGTTTAGATTTGATCTGTTACTACTCTTTTTGTCCAGTGTGCACATCAAGATTTTGTTGACATCTCTATTGTCCTAATAGCTCTTCACATTCTTTAGTTGTTCCCTTCATGTCATTTTTAGTAAGATTTCTAAAGAAATATGACATAAGCCTGGTAGTCACATGTGACATTAACAGGCAGTTTGCCAATTCTCTGTAGACTTAGCAGCCTTTTCTGTTTGGAATTCTACAGCATCTTTCTAACATAAACTTTACCTTTAATGCTTGAACCGGTTTTTGTTTAACATGAGGCAAGACCTTCAGACACTTATAAAGCTGTCTGAGGGCCCTATTAATTAGACTTAGAATTTTTGTCATGTTTGTATTTTCTTTGCCTTATTAACGGTGATATTTTTTTTAATCTCATTTATTGAAACATATTTACATAAAGTAAATTCACCCTTGTTGGTGTAAAGTTATGTGAGTTTTGACAAACACATAGTCACATAATCACCATAATCAAGAATATTTCCATCGCCCCCAAAGTTCTTTTTGTGTCCTTTTGCAGTCCAATAAGAACAGTAACTGTGTTTTAGTTGTTTTCAATTAAGCTGATTACCCCAATCTTTCTGGTGTGTTATTTCACCTTAAATTTTTAATTAACCCCTTTTTAAAAGATTTTATTTTTAGAACAGTTTTAGGTTCACAGCAAAATTGAGCTTTTGAAAAGTACAGAAAGTTCCTGTATACTCTTGCCCAACACACCCACAGCTTTCCCACCTTTAATTGACCTTTAAAGTGCACGTGCGTGTGTGTGTGTGTGTGTGTGTGTGTGTGTGTGTGTGTGTGTGTGTGTGTGTTTATTTATTTATTTATTTTCCCCCAACCCAACCAAATAGGGACAGAGGTCGAAGGAGCAGGTCACGCTTGAGAAGGCGGTCTCGATCACGGGGTGGTCGTAGACGTAGGAGCAGAAGCAAAGTAAAAGAAGATAAATTTAAAGGAAGTCTTTCTGAAGGAATGAAAGTTGAACAAGAATCTTCATCTGATGATAAGTAAGAATGGAATTTCCCATAATTTCCTTTTTTCAATTTAGACAAGTACTATTTGACCTGGAAATCTTTACTTTTCCACCTGGATATAGCAAGCGAATCCATTCATTAGGTCCTGAATTGAAAAGTTAATCTTTTGTGCATATTTTATAAGTTATGTGGCAGAGGTCATGGTTTTCTGAATTTAGAGGCTTCAGTTTTTGCTGGAATGAACATTGGGCTATCAATTTATCATGAGCCTTCCCTTCATTTTTATTAGAGACAACAGATATATTAGATAGTTCTACCAATCTTGATTACCAGTTTTGCAGTGGTGTGGGTGTGCGGGTGTATACTAATATTTAAACTTTTCACTTTGTGTAAAATGATACCTACTTTGCAGTTGAGGCTATCTGATGGTAGATATGCCTGTTACTATGTGGAAAATGCAAAAACATTTCATTGTCTAACAGAATTTTTTTTTTTAATGCGAATTTAGTTGTGTAGATGGAACATCTCAAAAAATGAGACTAATCTAGAGCAATAGTTCTTAGCTGGGGGTAATCTGCTTCTCCGGGGACATTTTGGCAGTATCTAAACGTATTTTGATTGTCATCTTGTGGCTAGAGACCAGAGATACTGTTCAATATCTGCCAGTGCATAGGACAATGCCCTCTTCCATAATGAAGAATTGTTAAAATGTCAGTAGTGCTGACGTCAAGAAAGAGCTTAGGTGATACGAAAGTTAAATGAAGGTTAAGTGAACATCCTGATAACCTTGAGAATGCATTTTGCTTACTTGTCTGCAGTGAACATTCAGCAGATCATAGAAACACCTATACTAGGAGGGATTGCAAAGATTGTGGAGTTTTTTGGGAGGAAATTGGGAACAGTCAGGGCAGTGTCTGGGGGTAGAGCCACATTCCCCTTCAGACTGTATGTGGATATTTACATGTGCATTTTTGATAGGGAAAAGATCCATAGCTTTCCAAGGATCTGCAGCTTTCTGTGACCCAGAAAAGGTATTAGTTTGCTTATGTGTCTCACCCTCTTGTTCTATAAAGGTTAAAACAGGCTAGGTAAATGAAATGACTTTAGTAATACCAAGGTCATGGAAGAGCCGGGAGTGACTTTTTTGAACTTAGGGATCTTTCATTTGTTCCCTAGTTTGGTGCCATGAAACAAGTGAGGAGAAAAATGAGACACAGAAGGTTAAATTACTTGCTAGGTTTCCAAACCAGGCAACTAAGAGAGTTTAGAAACAGAATAGAGTAGGATGGCAATTAGCTGATCACTTACGTTTTCCAGCTCTTACTTTTAATTTATATAGCAGTTACTATTTGTGAGTCTCTAAGGATTTTTGAAGTTAATTATGTGTATATATGTGTACATTTTTTTTTTAAGCCTTGAAGACTTTGATGTAGAGGAAGAAGATGAAGAAGCCCTAATAGAACAGAGAAGAATACAGAGGCAGGCAATTGTTCAGGTGTGTGATATTAGTGAAATTTTGAGCACCCCTTCTGAAATAATTACTCTATTAGTAAAAACAGTTTTTATTTATAAAGAAGTGATGGTAACAGCAATTGAGTAAATCTTTAAGAAGTGTATGTGTAAAATTATCTTTGTGAGATTTGAAAAGATAATTTCTTAATAAAATTGAAATGGTTGCCTTGTTTTGTTATAGAGAGGATTCTGACAAAAACCTTTTATAAGACATAAAATTTGAAATTTGCTTTTTTAAAAAAAAATTTAAAGTTTACATACTTGGGGCGCCTGGGTGGCGCAGTCGGTTGAGCATCCGACTTCGGCTCAGGTCATGATCTCGCGGTCCGTGAGTTCGAGCCCCGCGTCGGGCTCTGGGCTGACTGCTCAGAGCCTGGAGCCTGTTTCAGATTCTGTGTCTCCCTCTCTCTCTGACCCTCCTCCATTCATGCTCTGTCTCTCTCTGTCTCAAAAATAAATAAACGTTAAAAAAAATTTTTTTTTTTTAAATAAATAAAGTTTACATACTTGTTTTGAGAGAGAGAGCATGAGTGGGGGCGGGGGGGGGGCAGAGAGAGAGAGAGAATCACAACATAGGGCTCAAACTCAAAAACTGAGATCATGACCTGAGCCAAAATCAAGAGTCAGATGCTTAACCACCTGAGCCCACCCAGGCGTCCTTCTTTTTTGTTTGTTTTTAAGAAAACCCTCATAAGTGAGTATAGAATAAATTGGAAGAATTTCTCTATGTGGGGGCGGAGAACTATTTTAAGGTCTAAAAAAAATGGTAAATTTCTAATGCAAATGTGATTGTTTACATGGAACATCTCAAAAATAAGTTTGAGTTGTTTAGAGCTAGGTGATTAAGACAGTGGGGGTGGGGAAAGGGTGTTATACATAGGTCTTTATATTCTCATTTAATGATTTGGTTACCTGCCTTGGAAGATTGTCAGTTATGCCTCGGCCATCCTGACTTAAAGCCATGGCCACTAGATGCTTTGTGGATGGCAGTCCCTGTAAAGTGTAAAGTTTTCCCTTAATGGAAGGTGAGCAATGAAGTTGAGAATGCATTCTGGAAGAAGTAAAAAATGTTGAGGTGCTATAAGGACATTAGACAAAAGCAAAGGACAGTCATACCAGCTCACTTACACATACGTAGCAAATCATAAACCATGTACTGTTATGTCAGAGCAAAGGAAAGAACTTGAATCATCAGAAGATGTAGGGCAAAACTGGAATTCCAGAGAACCTTTTCTGGGGCACTGATGAAATTGTTGTTATTAAACTGATATCCCTAAAGACTTGGTTGAATCTTTTTTTGTTCTTGCCCAGGTCCACAATCCCTTATCTCCAGCCCTTGGGGCCAGATGTGCTTCAGAACTCAGAACTATTTGAATTTTAGAAAGGTAATATGGTGCATCTATGTATATTATTTAGCCCCATCAGTGGGCTCTAGGAGCAGCACCCCGTTATCAAACACAGTAGTATTTCTGCAGTGAGGCATATTCTGTTCACACTGGGGGAGATAAAAATAAGACTACAAATAGCATCACATCTGTTCATGTCAGGTTTTGTCACCTAATGAATGTGCACCGAACATAGAAAATCTCTTTCAGAGTTGTGTGGATTTTGGAATTCTATGTAAGGGATTGTGGATCTGATTCAGTGAAGGCATCAATACTCTTTAAAAAATTTTTAACATTATTTAACACTCTTTTCAGTGCAATACCTCTTTAGCAAATATGCATTGGATTTTATGAAAATAATATGTTGTATTGTTGTTACAGAAATATAAATATCTTGCTGAAGATAGCAATATGTCTGTGCCATCTGAACCCAGCAGCCCCCAGAGCAGTACCTGTACGCGGTCACCTTCTCCAGATGACATTCTAGAAAGGGTAGCTGCTGATGTTAAAGAGTATGAACGGGAAAATGTTGATACATTTGAGGCTTCAGTAAAAGCCAAGCATAATCTAATGACAGTTGAACAGAATAATGGTAAGTTAGATTTTTGTTTTGATCATGCTTTTCTCTCAATTTTTAGCTCTGTAAATAATGAAAGAGATTGTTTTGGAATGGGGAAAAGTGAAAGGGATTAGAAATGTTGCCCCTGTTAACCCCTGTTAAATCTTATGGTAATATAGTATTAAATGTGTCCCAGTGAATGTTCTTTATAAATATTTTTTATTAGTTCACATAACCTAAAACAGTATACGGAATCCCACATTGTTTGTTACCTTCTGTTTGGGGCGCGTGGCTGGCTTAGTCAGTGGAGCATGCAACCCTTGATCTCGAGGTCATGTGTTCAAGCCCCATGTTGGGCACAGAGCTTACTTAAGATAAATACGTACATACATACATATATTTAAAAAGTCATTAGCTTCTGTTTTGCTTGCTAGAGTATTCTAAAGCAGATCCCAGCCATGATTTCATTTTGTCTATAAATAACTTCGTTTTGTATCTCTGCTAGATAAGAACTTTTTTTTTTTTTTTTTAACGTTTATTTATTTTTGAGACAGAGACAGAGCATGAACAGGGGAGGGGCAGAGAGAGAGGGAGACACAGAATCCGAAACAGGCTCCAGGCTCTTAGCTGTCAGCACAGAGCCCGACGTGGGGCTCGAACTCACGGACCGAAGTCGGACGCTTAACCAACCAAGCCACCCAGGCGCCCCGATAGAACTTTTTTTAAAAAAACATTACTTAAAAAATTGATTGCTTTTAAATATCTAATATCTAATTACAGTTGGCTGGTTTGAATCAGAATCCACATAAGATGCCTATATCTGTCTCAATGTCTCAGAGTCTTTAATATTCTCATCCTTTCCTCCTCCCCCTTTTCCATTTACTTGTGAAGATACTGGGGCCATGTGTCCTATTAACTTCTCTTTGCACTCTGATTTTACCACATTCTTGTGCCAATTTATCCTATTTTCTCTATCTTCAGTGTTTCTTGAACACTGCATGTTGGAGACTTGAATAGATTTAAGTTAACTTTTTTGGCAAGAATACTTCATAAGTAGTGGTGTGCACTTGCATCACATCAGGTGGTGTGTAGTGTGTGCTTGTCCTGTTTTTATTGACCTTGAGATTGTGTGTTCAGATAGGAAGATCCATAGCTGTCCAATATGAAGTTTACCTTCAGCTGTTCACCTAGCAGTTTCAGTAGCCATTGGTGATCATTACTCAGATCCATTCTTTCATGAGGGGCAGGGGTGGGGGGTGTGGACACACTCCAAAGTGGTGATTCTTAAATTATAATTCCTTTTGAATTACTACCTGTAATTCCATAAAAGAAAAGGTTTCTATTCTTTGGTTACCGTGAAACATAGTTTGTACAGGAGAGTTGGGATAAATTCTTCATTATTTTCTTTTATTGACTAATTTTTAGCATAGATAAAGTTTGGTACATTAGCAACCTCCAGAGATAACCAGTGAAATTTTGGTAGTTTTTGTCATGTTTTCATGATTTCGTATCATTGTATACTTAAATTCTCTTTCCAACTGAGGTGGGGAGGAGCCTTTTTAAGTTGGTTTCTAATGTCTTTTTGACCCACACCCTACAGGATTGATTGGTAATATATACTTATTAATATTATTCTTTCTAGGACAGGGGTTGGCAAACTGTAAAAGGTCAGAGAATATTTTAGGTTTTCATAATTTAGACTTTTTTTCTCTGTTCCAACTACTGGACTCTGCTGTTGTAGAGCAGAAGCAGCTGTGTTCCTCCCAAAAAAACCTGTGTGGACACCAAAATTTAAATTTTCAATAATTTTCAAACGTCACAAAATATTCTCATGTTTTTCCCCAAAATCTTTGAAAACATAAAAATGGACCATATGAAAATAAGGGGCCAAATTTGCTTCACTGTAGTTTGCAAAATTAGTTTTACCACAGTGTGAGATTTCACAGGCTCACCTTATGGGTATCTTGTCCCAGAACAGAAACAGCTGTTGATCTAAGGAACGCTGGTGCCATTTAATAGGAAATTCCATTCAGAGGTCACAGGGCATGTAGGGGTGCCCGTTATTCATGGGACTTTTCAGTGGACAAAGCTAGGACATACATACCTTTTTGGAAGGGGGAGGTTCATACTAAAAAAGTGCCAATTCAAATTCGTACTTCTATAAGGTTTTTATTAAGTTCTTTGATTTTATGTTTGTATTTTAGTGAAAAACTTGACTCCTAATAACATTATTTGGGTTATTTTGAAGCTTTTATTTACATAGTTATCAGTATGATCAATATTCTTTTTATCCTTGGGATACATTCCAAAGTGTAAAATCATTTGAAATACTTCTTTGTGTGGGTATACCACTCATTTAATAGATTTAGGTTTATTTTTTTTCTTTTGCTTGTGATTTTTAGGAATTTTGTTTTATTATTAAAATGGTCCTTCATATGTGTGTGTATTTGTATCCTATGTATACAAGTACACACAAAGATATACACTCCTTGATGTGAAAAAATCTTCATTCCTTTTTATAGCTGTGTACTATTCCAGTGTAATGAATGTGCAAAAGTTTATTCATTGTCTTCTAATGGTAGATGTTTGGGTTATCTCCAGTTGTTGAGTATTTATTGGACCATTAATTATAATGCGATTGTGCATTGTCATTTTTTTAATGTGTACCACTCTGTCTTTGAGATGATTTTGTACAAGTGAAGTTGCTGGGTCTAAAGAGTACGGTTGTGCTGTGTTTCCAAATTTTATGCTGTAAGGCTTACACAGTTTTGCCTCTCCCAAGTAATGTCTGAGTTCTTGTTTATCAGGGCTTGTTTTTGTGGGGGTTCTTGTTGGGTTTTTTGTTTTTTGTTTTTGTTTTTTTTTTGAGAGAGAGAGAGCATGTGCATGAGTGGGGGTGGGAGGGTAACATTGGCGAGACAGATAATTCCAAGCAGGCTCCACACCAGCAGCGCAGAGCAAGACACAGGACTCAAACACTTGAAACTGTGAGATCGTGACCTGAGCTGAAATCAAGAGTCGATTGCTCAACTGACTGAGCTACCCAGCCGCCCCTAGAATTTATTTATTTTTTTTAAAGTTTATTTTTGGGAGAGGGGAAAGTACAAGCAGGGGAGGGGCAGAGAGAGAGTGAGACCAAGGATCTGAAGCCAGCTGACAGATACCAATACAGAGCTAGAACTCACAAACCGTGAGGTCATAACCTGAATTGAAGTTGGAAGGTTAAGTGACTGTGCCACCCAGGCACTCCTAGAAATAGAATTTTTTGAAGAGGAACTTTGATTTTAATACATAATCATTATTTACCTATTAGCATATTAATTTAACTAACATTGGAGAAAGTACTGATAATTAGGTGTTTCAACTTTCTGAAATGAATCTTTTTAGTAAAGAATGGATGGCCTTATATATGTTAAGTGTTAAAGTAACTTTTGGACAGGTATTAATGAAAAACTCGTGCAAGAGGAAAGAAAGTTTGAATTGTTAGTGATTTTACATTGATGACTGATTTGTGTTTTAATTTGTATCCCTTCATTTTTCAAATATTACTGTTCATTTCCATTTAGGTTCATCTCAGAAGAAGCTGTTGGCACCTGATATGTTTACCGAATCTGATGATATGTTTGCTGCCTATTTTGATGTAAGTAATTTTACTTATGTAACTTTAAATGAAATACATAAGCGTTGTATATGTATATAGAGAGAATAATAGATAAATATATGCTAACATTTGGACAGTCTGAAGGTTATCTGGAAACTCTCTGTACTAATGTTGCAACATTTCTCGAAGTCTGAAATTAGGTCAATATTTTAAAAACAAGTATAGCAGAACAGTTTGGGAGGTTCAGAAAAGTTAAACACCAAATGACTTAAATGTGTAGTTATTTTTCTCAAGCAACATTTTCTTGGATTTAAAAGTGTGTGTGTGTTGTGTGTGTGTGTGTGTGTGTGTGTGTGTGTGTGTGTGTGTGTAGGGCATAGTTAGCTGAGACAAGATGATACCAATAATTTCCAAGCTGGTATTAGAGCAGAGTCCACTTTGGGCTTCGATATTATTGGTGATTGAAAAGTTAGGATTTGCGTCCTAATAAAGTCATTAAAGAGTTCTGAGTGTTATTCTAAGGCAGGGGATTAAGAAATTTTGGCTTTTTAGCCATGTTTCCAGTTTCTTTTCTTGAAAAAATCTTAAAAACATACTCAAGTATGGGATTTTTTCATTATAAATTCAAGAGAATATGAGAAATAAGGAGGCTTTGGCAAGAAGAGGAAGTAGGGGGATAAACATAAAAAGGGGAAATTAAAAATGGAGTAGGATTAAGCAGTCTGTGTCTAGGACCCGGAAGACCTTGATCATGGGCCCATGTGTCTATGTCTGTATTTTATTTTATTTATTTATTTATTTATTTTTTTATTTATTTATTTTTGGGACAGAGACAGAGCATGAACGGGGGAGGGGCAGAGAGAGAGGGAGACACAGAATTGGAAACAGGCTCCAGGCTCTGAGCCATCAGCCCAGAGCCTGACGCGGGGCTCGAATTCCCGGACCGCGAGATCGTGACCTGGCTGAAGTCAGACGCTTAACCAACTGCGCCACCCAGGCGCCCCTATGTCTGTATTTTAAACAGAAATACTAAATAATGCTAGGTTAAGGAATGATGAAATGATGATTGAGCCAGTGAAAGTATCAGTGCCCATCATTTGCTTGGGTGACAGGGGCCTTCTGGGTATCATGGACAGTGGTTTGTAATATTCTTAATTTCCCACACAAACTGTTAGTACAGCCAGTGACCTTTCATGCATATGTGGGAAGAGGAGTCAAGGGGTGGCAAGTAGACAAGGCAGTATAAGAAATGTGGAATTGGTAGAAGAGAATGTTGGATACCTATTGTTAACTGAGTGCCCATCTGTAATTTTTGTCCCCCTTTGTCTATTAATAGCTATCAAAAACCAGACCTGGTTTTGAGTCTTTTTCATTTATAATGCCCTAGTCATATTCCTAAGATTTCTTGAAGATACTTTAACTTTTTTCCTGAGCATTATTGTGATACAAGAGACTTTGTTACTCATGTTTCCAGGTGATGGTAAGAGTTTACTTAATTTGGCATAAGATGTTTTTATTGAATTATAGCTTGTTTTGCCCATTTTTGTTTTAAAGGAAGTATTTTAAATGTCTGCCAGATTAGTAGGTAAATGGCTCTCTCGTTGCCTCCTTCATTTCATTTCAGAGTGCTCGTCTTCGGGCTGCTGGTATTGGGAAAGATTTCAAAGAGAATCCCAACCTCAGGGATAACTGGACAGATGCAGAAGGCTATTACCGTAAGTTCACGGTTCTGATTAATTTTAGAGTTCTAAAATATTTTATAGAATTCTGTTGCTTGATGCAGTCACACGTTGGAGAACTCTTGAGAGTCCCATCACAGTGCCAGCACTTACAAAGTATGGCACATCGGATAGGTGCATGAACCCATGTTGTAATCTAGTAAGCAGCCCACGAGCTTCATGAATAGAAGTGAGGTAAAAACTTGATGTGCAACTTAAATCTATTCAAAGTTGTTTTCAGCCATGAGATAAGCCTCCAGGAGGAAGGGGGAACGTCACTTGCTCGTCTTGATCTGAAAACCAAGAAAAACGACATACAAGGAGCTTGGGATGCCAGTCATGCAGTATTTGTCCTGCAGGACTACAGTTGGAAACACTTCAGTGAGCACATTTCTTCCCTACTCAATGTTGAAATCCTCAGCAGTGGATAGGAAGTGGGCATGCAGCTTGAACCACATTATGAAAGAGTGACAAATGATGGAGGCTTGGCTTTGATTCTCCCTGGTGCCTAGGACACCAAACACACAGTAGAGATTTGACACATTTTTTTAAGTGACTGCACTGTGTTTCTTTTTATTATGTGTATCTCAGAGTTTTCTTAAGTATTTATTGTTTTCAAAATTCCCATTTCTTAATTTACTTTTCTAGGCGTGAACATAGGTGAAGTCCTAGATAAGCGTTACAATGTGTATGGCTACACTGGCCAGGGTGTATTCAGTAACGTTGTACGAGCCAGAGATAATGCAAGAGCAAACCAAGAAGTTGCTGTAAAAATCATCAGAAACAATGAGCTCATGTAAGTTCAGAAGACATATGTAACGAAACCTAAAAACACAGGTATTCACACATGAAGATTTTTAAAAAGTGTAACAGTCTATAAAAGTATTGCAGTTCTAAAATGACAGAATGATGGTATTGAATCTGATACCCTTTTTCTTTTATACAGTAGAGGTAATTGCCATATCCATATGTTCTAATAAGTACAATCCATAACCACACACTGAGTTGATGTTAAAGTCAACTTGCCATTATTTTTATTTTTTAATTTACATCCAAGTTAGTTAGCATATAGTGCAGTAATGATTTCAGGAGTAAAATCTAGTGATTTCATCCCCTACATACAACACCCAGTGCTATCCCAACAGGTGTCTGTCCTCCTTAATGCCCATCACCCATTTAGCCCCTCCCCCCCA